TGTATATATATATATATATATATATATGAGAGAGAGAGAGAGAGAGAGACGAAACACTTTTTACATAATTTATCATCATTTCATTCAGTCACGTGAGGCTGTTCATTCCTGATTGTCGGGTTTGATGAGTTTTATCATTTAAGAGAAACAATAATCATATTCTGGGACGATCGCATTCCGCTGGTAGAAATGGATCCTGTGCTTATAAACAGAACACAGGACACAGTTTGTTAACAGACTACAGAGAGAAACACCTCTACAGTGGTGATTACTGTGTCTTTATTAGTTATTAGTATTATTAGTTACTATTATTAAGTACAGTGATCATGTGAACAGACACAAACTTCTCAAAAGTCTCTCCAGCCGTTAAAGCCGACTGACAGCTGATCCAGCTGTGATCAGCTGATCCTCCGTCATCAGAAACAGACGTCGCTTCACGTGACGCAACTGAGGAAAGGACGTCTCATATCTCTTAAAACATATTTCCTCGTTCCTCTCTCCTCACATGGTTTCCTCCATGCATCCCTGGTGGGAGGGACTAAGACGCAAGGAAAGGACCCAAGTGAGGGAAACGGGGATGCAATTAAGAGACTTGGGATGTACCCATAGTCAGAGATGGGCAGTATTTCTATTACTTGTATTTGAAATACGTATTTCAATTACTTTTGAGTATTTTGTAATTTGTATTTGATAGGGCCGATAAAAATCGAACATAATTTGTAACAAAATACTTTAGAGTCTAGTAATTTTGTATTTAAAATACTCAAAATACTTTCTCCACGAATCAAAAAACAGTTAACGAGTTCAGTCTTCAGATCTTCAAGTTGTCTGTCAAGATATATAGTTTATCTGAGTGACAGATGTCAACTAGCTTGATGTATAATTTATGTCTGGGTCTGGCTACATAGCCTATTGTATATACATGGTGATGGACGGTTATAATATCAAGCTCGATGCTAACATGCTAATGACGCTAGCATGCTGTTTAGGCTAGTGCATAGCCAGTGTTTAGCAAGTTAACTTATCAGTGGAGTAGCTAGCTATAGGAAGAGGGAGATTGGGAGCTTGTATGTTCATGATAACCTTATCAAGAGACGTCTGACCATCTAATCTTGCACTGTATTACAAGTTATGCTGTATCTTATCAATTACTGGCAGATAATATAGTTCACAGTTAGCCAGGCTATGACAGTAGATGTCCATTTGTTGAAAAAACCATTACATATCCAATTTATTTTATTTAAAAGGCATATTATGAAAGTATTCTTAGTTTTATTATTTCATACATTCTACAGTTGGCCAGGTGGACAACATGTCTCAGCAAGATGATGTTCAAGAAGGACCATCAACAAGCACAGATGTGCTTAGTTACACTGACATTCTGTGACTGTTCTTCCTTTTTGTGGGGTTCACCAGAGCTTTGTGTACATTATAGCCCAAACCTGAATGCTCTGCTATACCAAATTGTGAAAAAATGGAAAATCCAGAAAAAAGTATTTCCTGTATTTTAAATACAAAATACATGTATTGTATTTTGTTACATTTTCTGGCACAAGTATTTTATTTTGATACATTTATTTGAGGGGTATTTTGTATTTTGTATCAAAATACATTTTGATGTATCTTTGCCCATCTCTGCCCATAGTCCATCTCAATCCTTTGAGTTCCCTCTAAGCACCGGTACACTCAACACCAGAGGCAGCTCAAAGAGAGAAGGAGCTCCAGCAGGGGGCGCAGTCACACAAAGTAAAGCACACACACACAGACGGACGGCACATTGATGCTTCTGATGCAGCTGCACAGCAAGTTGACTTTAGTGTCAAATCTGACAGACAATGAAGTCAGAGACAACAGCAGTTCATCAGTGTAGAAGAAGAGAAAGCTTCCGGTGTAATTACTGAGGGCTGCACAATTATGAGCAGAAGGACCGTCCTGATTACTGTTTGACTTCATGACGTTGATACACGATTGTTGTCCTCAGTGATTTTTGGGGAACAAAATTATTCTCCTTTATTCATCTTGTACCACAAACTGTTTCCAGACACGTTTTACATTCTTCACTCAACAAAATGCGCCAAAACCTCTGATACATCCTGATTGTGTATGAATGATCTAAGCTGACATGATAGAAGATGATTCATTGTGCAGCCCTACATATAAACTACAATAGCAGTCCTTCTCTGGTGTCTAGAGGTCACTGAGAGGTCTGCTGCCTTCCCCTCAGCTGTTTAGTCAGATGAAGCATTACTGAGATCCAGTGGCGGGCCGTGCATTTTATACCTGGGCCTTCACTGCTGTCCTGTGAAACTACTCCAAAGTGCTGCATCTTGGATATTGGCCGTCGCCACCTTGATTTTATTTTGTCTATTGTCTGTGTTGCTTGTAAAATGTGTGTGACGACAGATACCTCGTCTCTCAAACTAACTCTACCTCTGGGTTCAAATAAAGTGACCTGAACCCAGTTGGCATGAAAAGTGTTGAGTTTCAAAGTCCAAAGCAACAATCAACACTGTGAAGTGAAGTTTAAAACACACACACACACACACACACACACACACACACACACACACACACA